TGTAAATGACGAGTTGATGGGTGCAGCACACCAACAAGGCACAAGTATACATATGTAACAAACCTGCACGTTATGCACATGTACCCTACAACTTACAGTATAATAATAATAAATAAATTAAAAAAAAAAAAAAAAGTTAATTGTAAAGTTTTCTGAGTTAAGGGCTCTTGAATAGTGAAAAGAACTAATATTCATTGACTTTTGTTTTTCCACTTTTTAGTATATTCATTTCATTTACATCAATATATGCAAGCTTTAGCAAAGCCCAAAGTGACTGAAAATAGAGCTACAATAAAATGGCCTTTGCTGATGGCTATGCATCACACTTCTGTGTATCCAAAATCAACATTTGTTCAAGGTATTAAATTATCCTTGTCATCCACTATGTTTTACAAACTTCCACAGGGAGAACTGTAACTAAGCTAATGTTTGCAAGGATTTGTAGGTGTCTACTGTTAATGTGCATGGAGTAAATAGTTTTACTGCTCTGCACTCTTCATTTTCTCCTTCGAGTTTTGAAGACATGATGATATGCCTCAAGAGAGTAGCTGTTTTCTGATGACATGTATTTATTAAGGAAATGCACATAAACTTCACGGGGAGGTAGGCAGCACATTTTTAAGGATTTGAACGGATTTGAACACATTCCATAATGATTGCTTTCTGAAGCAGACAGCAATGTGTACTCTGTATTTTAAAACACTGAAACTAACATTTGAGTATGTTAAGGTCAATTTGCAACAATTTCACTAGGAAGAGATCATTCAAGAGGCATGACAAAAAATGGCTACACAGTTGAAAAGTGAACATGAGGGTTTTAGCATCCTGCAAGTTGCTCTGTAACACACATTCTGGAAAAATACTGTAGCTAAGCAGAGAGGGGAGGGGAGATAGAGTGAGTTAAAACCACTTAGTAATTAGATTTCAGGTTATGATAGGAAGACGGCTATATTTGTGTGAAAACTGCAAAACTATACCTTGATTTCAGCTTTAATCAGTAAATCCAGGGCATTTTAAAGCTATTTAGAGCAACTAATCGTTGATGGCATTGGGGGACAATTTTACAACTAATGACATAAAATATACAAAGTATTTATTAAACCTTTTTATCTACTAGAATTTACTTGTTAACTCAATTTTGTAGTAATTAAAACATCATAAGCATCTCAGAACTGTTTCAAACTTTTCAAAGCTGTGCATTCCACTCCAAAGCCCATAATACCATTATAGGTGTTCTGTCCAGAAGGAAAATTAATATGGAGGAATAAAACATAGGGAGGAGACACTTTTGCATATCATTTTAACTATGTTCACATAATGCTTGTAGATGTGCCAACAAATAGTGAATTTGAGATCTATAGAACCCTTCAGTCTTATGGAACCCTTCAGTCTTATGATGGAACATATCATCCCATCTTTTAAGGAAAAAGAGCTACTTTCTGGCTAATTACTTACATTAGCCCATCAGAAGATGAAAGTATCTATACAGTTTTTATTTAATTATTTTATCTGCCATTGGGCAATGTTTTTCAAGAAATGTTTCAAAACTTTACTTGGAAAATATCACTTGTTTCAGGAAAAAACAAAGTATGAATAAATATTTAAATATGAAAATTGTAATTTTCATTGTATGTCTAAAAAGCAGAAACAACTGATAAGGCCCCAGTTACAGCCTTTGTGTAAGACCTTTTCCCTTTCTTCACTATGACTTGGGAAAGTAGAGACAAATCTGTCTAGTTCAGTAGTGTTCCTAAGAAATGCAGTGATGGCTGTTCTTTTACGTTGCCCTGTAAATCAGAGGTTTCACTTATGTACTGGCCACAGAACTGGTGTGTACATAACAACCATTAACTAGGCCACATTCACTCAAAGAAAACATGTTTTTAATTTGGTATTTTGCAGTATATATGGTCCCAAAGAATACATACAATAATTGACTTTCCACATCAGTGATTCTAGAATCATGAAAACACACATGCACAGAGACATAAAGAAAAGAAATAACAGTAAAGCTCCATCTTTAAGCCAAGTGAAACATGTTGGCTTCTTGCAGTCTAAACTTTTCTGACATTGCTTTAAAAGAATCCAAATTCCAATATAATTGTATGTGCAAAAGTTAGAAAGCATAGACTATCAATTCACTGCAGCACTAAAGATGCATTCTCTTTTATAAAAGGTCACTATATATTTGTTTTCTGAAGGAAAACTTTTTCATCTCACAAGGAAAAGGAGGTAATGTGCTGTATCCCAAGCACTTACCACAGTGACTGGAAAACAGGGAATGGATAAGCTTTTGTTGAATCAATAAATACATGACTAAGATGTCCACGTGATGTCAATGCATTTTTACCTCCCGTTAGCAATTTTAGCATGGGCTTTGTGGTGTTATTTAATAGGCCACATTTAAAGTCATAATATATTGAGTTTTTGAATTGTTATTGATGCTACTTAATGTTCAAAATGGTAAAGGAGTGTACATGTAAAATAGAGTTTCTCAATCTGAAAATCACAGTTCCATTATTTTTTTTTCTTTTAACTCATCTGTATTTGTTACAACTTCAAGCCGAATGTGACTCAAGCACTACATTTTCATCCACAAGACTGGGTCTGAGTTATTTTTGAACAGCTTTATGATATGCTTAGGTAGGCTTATAACTTTGCTCTTCCAAATAATACTTTTCTTTGGAAAACAAGCCCTGTGGAGAGTTCCTTCCATCAAGTTGCTTCAGTTTAACCTATCTCTAGAGGACTAGTACATGCAGAATTGGCAACTACAGGGGATAAAAAGTTCAAAAAGTAGATCCTACAAGATGTAACAAATACTTTTCAAAACATCAAGGTATAGCTCAGGAACACTTCGATAACAAGATTTGGTCTACTTAGGAATCTGGCTTGATAGCCAAACACTTTAGACCACAAAGTTAACATCATGTTACATACATCTTACAACACACGTTACCCCAATCTGTTAAAATAAACCAATGTGAAACTAAAAGAGCATTACTAGCTCTGCTTTAGTGCCTAAGGCATCACAGCATCACTTAGAAGTAGACAGAAATCTTATCTTCCCCTTAAAGTAGTTGTTGTCATGCCACACAGACTTTTTAATATTAACAAAAATAAAGGAAAACATCCTCGAAAATATATTATCAGAGGAATTATAGAGTGTTGAACAGGTAAGTAATCCCTCAGCCGGAGGTTAATCTACTTCTTCCATGTGTGACGTGTCGTGATCTCATTCGAGTGGCGGCATTTCTTCAGTTACAGCTGCACTGGTATCATCAGCAGTAGGTCATCTTCACCAATACCCAGACCAAGTTTGATCATCCTGTAGATCCTGTTAGCATGTGTCTGGTGATCTTCCAGACCGAAGCCAGAAGACAGGAGCATAGTTTCGTAAAGCAAGATGACCAGATCCTTCACAGACTTGTCATTCTTAATCAGACTCTGCCTTTTGCCTTAAGGTCTCAATAATGGAATGGTCAGGGTTTATCTCCAGGTGTTTCTCTGCTGCCATGTAACCCATTGTTGAGTTGTCTCTTAGGGCTTGAGTTTTCATGATTCTCTCCATGTTTGCTGTCCAGCCATATGTGCTTGTGACAATACACCATGGAGACGTCACCAATCAGTTTGACACAACCACCTTTTCAACTTTTTTCTTCAATATGTCTTTCATGATTTTTCAGAGGTTCTCAAACTTTGTTTTTTTTTTCCTCTTCCTGTTTCTTTTTCTCTTCTTCATCTTTGGCATCCTGGTGCTGCTGTATTGTGGACCCTGTGCAGTCTCTTAGCCAAGATGCCTGAGGAAACCCAGACCCAAGACCAACCGATGGAGGAGGAGGAGGTTGAGATGTTCGCCTTTCAGGCAGAAATTGCCCAGTTGATGTCACTGATCATCAATACTTTCTACTCAAACAAAGAGATCTTTCTGAGATAGTTCATTTCAAATTCATCAGATGCATTGGACAAACTCTGGTATGAAAGCTTGACGGATCCCAGTAAATTAGACTCTGGGAAAGAGCTGCATATTAACCCTGTACCAAACAAACAAGATCAAACTCTCACTATTGCGGATACTGGAATTGGAATGACCAAGGCTGACTTGATCAATAACCTTGGTACTGTCACCAAGTCTGGGACCAAAGCGTTCATGGAAACTTTGCAGGCTCGTGCAGATATCTCTATGATTGTCCAGTTCTGTGTTGGTTTTTATTTTGCTTATTTGGTTGCTGAGAAAGCAAATGTGATCACCAAACATAATGATGATGAGCAGTATGCCTGGGAGTCCTCAGCAGTGTGAATAATCATTCACAGTGAGGACAGACACAGGTGAACCTATGGGTTGTGGAACAAAGGTTATCCTACACCAGAAGGAAGACCAAACTGAGTACTTGGAGGAATGAAGAATAAAGGAGATTGTGAAGAAACATTCTCAGTTTAGTGGATATCCCATTACTCTTGTTGTGGAGAAGAAATGTGATAAAGAAGTCAGCGATGATGAGGCTGAAGAAAAGGAACACAAAGAAGAAGAAAAAGAAAAAGAAGAGAAAGAGTCTGAAGACAAACCTGAAATTAAAGATGTTGGTTCTGATGAGGAAGAAGAAGAAAAGGATGGTGACAAGAAGAAGAAGAGGAAGATTAAGGAAAAGTACATAAATCAAGAACTCAACAAAACAAAGACCATCCGGACCAGAAATTCTAGTGATATTACTAATGAGGAGTACGGAGAATTCTACAAGAGCTTGACCAATGACTGGGAAGATCACTTGACAGTGAAGCATCTTTCAGTTGAAGGACAGTTGGAATTCAGAGTCCTTCTATTTGTCCCACAACGTGCTCCTTTTGACCTGACTGAAAACAGAAAGAAAAAGAACATCATCAAATTGTATGTTTTCATCATGGATAACTGTGAGGAGCTAATCCCTGAATATCTGAACTTCATTAGAAGGGTGGTAGACTTGGAGGATCTCCCTCCAAATATTTCCCATGAGATGTTGCAACAAAGCAAAATTTTGAAAGTTATCAGGAAGAATTTGGTCAAAAAATGCTTATAACTCTTTGCTGAACTGGCAGAAGATAAAGAGAACTACAAGAAGTTCTATGAGCAGTTCTCTAAAAACATAAAGCTTGGAATACACGAAGACTCTCAAAATCAGAAGAAGCTTTCAGAGCTATTAAGTTACTACACATCTGCCTCTGGTGATGAGATGGGTTCTCTCAAGGACTGCTGCACCAGAATGAAGGAAAACCAGAAACATATCTATTATATCACAGGTGAGACCAAGGACCAGGTAGCTAACTCAGCCTTTGTGGAAAGTCTTTGGAAACATGGCTTAGAAGTGATCTATATGATCGAGCCCATTGATGAATACTGTGTCCGACAGCTGAAGGAATTTGAGGGGAAGACTTTAGTGTCAGTCACCAAAGAGGGCTTGGAAGTTCAATTATTTTAAACATTTTTCTTTTTTATGAAGCTAATATTCTAGAGGAAGAAGAGAGGTAAATGCTATATAGTAAATAAATAGGTAAATGTTAAACATAACTTTGAATAGTCTTCAATGAACAGAAAGGGGGAAATTTTAGTATGGAATAAGAGGGATCTGGCTAAAGGGAGAGATGCTGAGACCCCTGGAAGACTCAGCCATGGCACTGCCTGGGGTGGCTGCTTTGGGTGGAGAGGGCTTCAGGGAGAACACTCAGTTGGAAGGACCTGCTGGGTCTAGGTCTTCTTCCCGGGCATGCACCTCAGGCCAGGTATGTGGGCACCTACAGGGCGGAGGCACCAGACCACCTTAAAAATGACCCCTAACATTCGCTTTCACTCTGAGACTGTTTGAAACGCTGGCTGCAAAGGAGGCTGGTCTTGAGGCTGGCTAGTCAGGAGGCTGCCTAAGGGGGTCCATGATATTGGTGACAAGGGAGGCTGGTTCTGAAGCTGACTGACTAAGCGGCTGGCTAACAAAATTACTGAGAGGCTTCCTGGAAGGTTGGCCAAGGTGCTGGCTGCATGGGAGGCTGGTCTAGTGAAGGACTGTCTTGAAAAGCGACATAGAGGCTTGCTGAGAGGGTGGCTCGCTGCGAGGTTGGCCAAGAGCCTTGTGAGAGGCTGTCTGAGAGGCTGCAATGAATACTTTATCAAAGGCCTGCTGAGATCCTGGCAGGCTCAATCTGGCTAAGAGTCTGAATACAAGGCTGGCTTCTTACGAGCCTGGCCTAGAGGCTGGCTGCACGGGAGGCTAACCCCGTGGCTGTCAAGGAAACTGGTAGAGTGGCAGATTGGCTGTGCAAGAGGCTTGCTGCATGGCTGTTAAAAACGCTGGCTGCATAGGAGGATGGTCTGGAAGTTGGCTGGATGAAAGATTTGCTTAGAGGCTTTCTGAAAGGCTGGATCACAGGCTGGCTGTCTGGGAGCCTGAACGGGAGTCTGAGAGACTGAGCGGCTGCCTTCAACGCTTCCTAAAATGCTTTTTTGAGTTTCACAAGATGAATTTGCCTAGGAGGCTGGGTACCAGGTCGGTCTTTTTGGAGGCTGGCCTAGAGCCTGACTGCATGGGAGGCTGGTCGAATGACAGCAGAAGGAGAGGCTTGCTGGAACACTGTTCAGAATGCTGGCTGCATGGGACGCTGGTCTTCAGGCTGGCTGGCTAGGAGGCCAACACAGAGGCTTGCTGAGATGCTCGTAAATAACCCGGATGAGAGACTGGCCGATTAGGAGGCTGGCAGAGAGCCTGTGTGAGAGGCTGTCTGTCTGAAAGACTGCCTTAAATTCTTGCTAAAAGGCTTGCTGAGAGCCTTGTAGGTTGAGTCCACCTAAGACGGGTGTCAGGCTGGCTGGTTAGGAGACTGGCTGCAAGGTGCTCTGAAAGCCTAATGGCTCTGCTCAACACATTTCTCCCGGGAAAGGACAGCGTCCAAGGGCTTCACCAGACTGCGATTCCTACTGGAGTGGGGCCGGGTGTGGCACAGAAGGGCAAAAACAAGCAGCCGGGACTAGGGAATGGCGAGTGGGAGGCACAGGCTCTCTCTTAACAGGTGGCCTCAGCTATGGAGAGGCTCTCTGCCACTGCTGTCAAGGGCGTGATGAACCCGGACCACCCAAGCACCTTTGGTCAGCTGCTACACCAAACACTCTTAAGTCATTCACTGTGGGGAACTCAGGAAGATCCACAAAGCTGCCTCCTGGGGACACAGCTGGAAGCTATTGGGGATGACGGTGAAGACGAAGAAAATGGACCTGAGCATAAGAGATGCGAAGAAGAGGTGCCATGCCCTACCTGAGCTGGGGCTGCAGGAGGAGGTGACAGCTTTTTGAAGATCGCCCCTTCAGCGTGGGCTGTGGGGGTTCCAGGGACGAAGCGAGTAAGTGGAGGAGTGGAGCAGTAGCGGGGCAGCAATCCTGGGCCCCGGGGTTTGGGCCTTCTTCCCAGGCATGCCCCCCGGGCCAGGGATTTGGGCACCTGCAGGGTAGAGAAACCAGACCACCTTAAAAGCAATCCCAAACATTCCAAACATTGGCTGCTTTCTCCTTCTTCACTCTCACTGAGGCTGTTTGAAATGCTGGCTGTAAGAGAGGCTGGTCTTGAGGCTCACTATTCAGGAAGCTGCCTCAAGGGCTCTCTGAGAGGCTTACGGGGAGGCTGGCCACGACACTGGTGGCATGGGAGGCTGATTCTGAAGCTGACTGGTTAAGCGGCTGGCTGGAAAGCTGGCCAAGGGCTGGCTGAATGGGAGGCTGGTCTAGTGAAGGAGTGTCTTAGAAAGTGGCATAGAGGCTTGCTGAAAGGCTGCCTCGCAGGGAGGCTTGGCTAACAGCCTGTGTGAGAGGCTCTGTGTCAGAGAGGCTGCCATAAACACTTGGTAAATGGCCTGCTGAGATCCTGGCAGGCTGAATCTGGCTAAGAGTCTGAATGCAAAGTTGGCAAGTTAGGAGCCTGGCCTAGATGCTGGCTGCATGGAAGGCTGAGAGGCTGGCGAGGAAAGTGGCAGAGTGGCAGATTGACAGTGGAAGAGGCTTGCTGGATGGCTGTTAACCATCGCTACATGGGAGGTTGGTGTGGAAGCTGCCTGGATGGGAGATTCGCTTACAGGCTTTCTTAAAGGCTAGATCAGAGGTTGCATGTCCGACAGCCTGTCTGAGAGCCTGTGTGAGAGTCTGTCTGAGAGGCTACTATCTTCAATGCTTTCTAAAATGCTTCCTGAGAGTCTGGCAAAATGAGTTTAGCTAGGAAGCTGACTGTCAGGCTGGTTTTGTGGAGGCCAGCCTAGAGTCTGCATGGAAGGATGGTCGAATGATGGGTTTTCTGGCAGGAGGAGAGGCTTGCTTGAAGGCTGATCAGAAAGCTCACTGCATGGCAGGCTGACTAGGAGGCCGACAGAGCCTTGCCCAGAACCTAGAAAGGCTGGTCGACTAGGAGACTGGCAGAGAGCCTGTGTGAGAGGCTATCTGTCTGAGAAGCTGCCTTAAATTCTGGCTAAAAGGCTTGCTGAGAGCCTGGTAGGCTGAGTCTGGCTAAGAGCCTGGGTGTCAGGCTGGCTTGTTAGGCAGGCCAAGAAACTGGCTGCAAGGTACTGTGAAAGCCTAACAGCTCTGCTCAATGAATTTCTCCTGGGAGAGGCCAGAGTGTCCAAGGGCTTTGCCAGACTGTGATTTCAACTGGTGTCAGGCCGGGTTTGTCAATGAAGAAGGGCGAGGATGAGTGGTAGGGCCTGGGAAATGGCAAGAGGCAGATGGGAGCTCTC